ACGTATCTACATAATATATAAGGCAGTATCAGAGTATTGCCCACGCTTAATTAGCAGTAATTTTCACGCTGGACATCTTGCTTTCTATGCTAAATCAATGTGACTTAAAAGCTTTCAATGAAGCTGATCAATTTGAAGCCTTTTGCTTTTGAAAACCACTCTTCTGTACAAAATATAACAACCAATTGCAAATGTCCTAAGAAATTGATTCATGATAAAACTTCACTGTATGAAAAAAACTATGTTATTACCCACAAAAAACGGTAATTAACTCAAAAAAATTCCGCAATAACATTGTAATGATCCATCTGAAAAACTATTGAAACGTATAAACGACCTTCAACAACAAAAAACTAGACTGAAAAAGCAGTCGTCAAATGTGATTTGTTTTTATGTGGCAACACTCTGGCCAAACAACAGACCAGAATGCTCGAGCTGCTTGAGCTGTGCTTGAATGGCATGCGATGTGACTGGATCGGATAGCATCTGATAGAAATTCAACAGTTCATTCGACGACATTGCCAAATTCGCACTTGTCTCGGACGGTAGCAGTTGTTGATTATTGGTGTGTGCGCGTTGCTGAATTTGTTGCAATATGCTGGTTAGCTGGTTTGAGCCAGTGAACAACGGTAAGTTATCTGAAGTGTTTTCATTAGTCGCGTGTATTGAGCTGGATGGTAGCATAGGTGCTGTTGCGAGTGGAATAACCAGTTCGGGTGGTGATAACATCGATGTGGCAGAGGATGGCGACGTTCTCAAGAGATTATTGGTGGCAGCTGATGAAGAGGAGGAGAAGAATTGCTGAACTGAATTACACGTTTGTTGTTGTTGTTGTTGTTGAAGAAATAGATGNTGTTCGTTAATGGTGTGGCAACTGAGGTGGATGCTTGAGACGAGGTGACGCTTAGTGAAGTCGAGTTTACCGAATGAGCAATCGGAAATTTCAAGAGGTTAGAGCTGTTGTCAGTTGTGCTTGTTGTGACGGATGGTAGATTCGGTGACGGTTTATGAATGAATGATGCACATTCTGAAGGAAACGGCAGTGGCGATAGAAGATTTGTGGCCAAATCGCCGTAAGATGGACTTGCAGTCGGTATTTTTACACGTGCATCCAGACGTGAAGGGATTTGATTGATTACAGTTGAAGTTCGTGATCGATAGTTTTCATCTGCAATAACAGCTGGACTGAGAGCAGTGGCAAGACTGGATGCTGACAGCGATTCAGAGGAAGGGTTTTGATCGAGAGATGAGGTAGTGGGAGGAGAGGTGTTGTTGTGCTGTTGTGAACATGTGGCCGCCAGTGTGGACGTTATCGGGGCATCGTCCGGCCCTACAAGCACACTGATCGGTGGAATTGTGGGTAGGGTGATGCGACGATATTCAGCAGTTTTTGTGCTCGTAGATGATTCACTCAGTTTATCGCCGCTCGTCAACTGGGCTGTCAGCAAAGACCAGTCGATGTTTGACGTCGTCGTTGCTGCCGATAAACTGCTTGGACGATGCGTTCCTGGTGAACTATTTGTAGAGCGTTTCGGTTTCGGTGATTCCTGAAAAATCAGACTGTACTCATCATACCGTTTTCATGAGATCATTTCATAAGATATTTTCGATACATTCACTAAATGAGCATCCAATGAGAGTTCGTTGTGTTTGACCAATCCGCATCAATATGACCATATTTCATATTTGCATATTGTTCCTTGTTTCATTTTATGTTCATTCAACGGCCTTAATTGCTTATGCGTTGATAACATACGAAGACATTTGTGCCTTCAAGTATATGTTGGAAACACCCGCAATTTCGTGTCATTCCAAAAGTGATTGACTTAAAAAAATAGTTTCTTCAAATGATGGATTGAGACAACACTGACCCTTTCGTTCGGTGAATCGAAAGAGCGTTTTCTGGTTTGCATTCGCTGTTGTTGATAACTGTTTTCATTGAGGTGTTTCTTCGACTGTAATAGTAAAGCATTTTTACGTGCCGCGCACCGCTGTTTCCATATTTCATACGACATCACCGTCAGTGGTTTTGAGTCTGCCTCGAATGCTAGACATAGCGATTCCTGAAAAAGTGTTTCGTTGTTTTTAAGGAACGAGTTAATACGGATTCTTTTTTGACGATAATTTATGTGAACACTGTGCAAATAGCATTTTTCATTTCAAAGCACATTTGTTGTGCACGAATCGTTCATATTAGAAACAGTTCTAAGATCCTGGTTAATTCATTGCAAATTTTGCAGAGGTGCACTGAGTTAACTTCTAGACCAGTGGACGTACCCGATTCAGCATTTGACCGCCATCATTACAGCTGTCCAATGACGACGAATGCGATGTGGAAGCCTGTGAAACGTTTGCGAACTCGGCAGCACCACCGGTAGCATCCAATCGTCCGGATGATTCCGCAGATAGTCTCCGTAGTTCTGAAATGGCAAATTTTTTTGACTCGAACTCACAGAACTTTTGACAGTTGAGTGCGCTGATGTTGAAAACAATGGGTCGATGAAACGGCTTCAGAATTTTCACAAAAAGAGTTAATGCTTGACACATTGGTATTGGTCAGCGCTGCTGGAGCAGAAATATTTTGAAAACAGAACATGAGCAAATGATACCTGTCCAATGATACTTCGATATTTTAACAATGACCTCAATCAGTGATATAACTTCTAGAAGTAGTTGCCTACATAGTCTCATTGAAAGCACCCCCGTATCACAGTTGTCTCACTCAAACAAATTCTCTTGATTGCCCCCTGGCGAAGTGTCGTCACTGTTATCAGAACTGCACTCAATTCACAACGATACTTAAAGCGTTTAAAAGTGATATTCAGATTGAAAATTGTTACTAGGAAAAGAGCAATTCACACGTGTATATATATGCATGAATGCGTGTTCGTTGGAAATGAGGAAGCATCGAGAATGGAAATGACGCAGCCGAATGCAAATCATTTGCTAATTTGATTTTTCTCTGTTCCCCGATTCGTTAATTATCCTAGTTGCTCTTTTGCGAGGAATAATTTTACTATCGGTTTGGCTTCAAAATTACAGTATAGCATCATATGTAATCTCGTCTTCAATCCTGATCTCATGATCAGTCATTTGAGTGACGATCAAAAGTGACCAACTCAAATAATTGGCTTGGCTTACCTCTCACTCTTAACTAAATTGTGCTCTTAACTAAATTCCTTGAGGACTGATACATCGGATTCCGTGTTGAGAAGCAACAAACGTTTCAATGTTCTCAGGAGAAATGAATATGAATCGAATGACTATCAAGTACTTAATGTGACAGATATAGCGCACGTCAGCATACAGCACACGTAAGCCAAACCGATAAAATTATTCCTTGCAAAAGAGCAAATACGATAATTGAAGAATCGGGGAACAGAGACAATCCACTTAACGAATGATGTGCATTCGGCTGCGTCATTTCCGTTCTCGATGCTTGCTCATTCCCAACGAACACGCATTCATGCATATATATACACGTGTGAATTGCTCTTTTCCTAGTAACAATTTCAGTTCCGCTGTCGTACATCTTATAATCTCTTGTGGAATTAAATCTCTGGAATCGTTTCTTCTCATCGTCAATAACCAATTCACTTCTCGCATTGTCAACTAATTGTATGTTGCTCTTTTGTGCTCATATGTGAGCTGATCCATAACGAAAACTTTTTAACTTGTATATATTCTCGTATATCTGTAACATAGGTGTTCTTTTTTTTNTGGAATTAAATCTCTGGAATCGTTTCTTCTCATCGTCAATAACCAATTCACTTCTCGCATCGTCAACTAATTGTATGCTGCTTTTTTGTGCTCATATCTGGGCTGATCCATAACGAAAACTTTTTAACTTGTATATATTCTCGTATATCTGTAACATAGGTGTTCTTTTTTTTCAGGAGTAGAAAGGATACGATACGGTAGTCGGTTGCAGTTCTAGTTGGTTGATTTATTGCATACATGAGCTTAAGCAATAGATTAGAGACGTAGTTAAGTTTATAGATCGCTGATAAAACTAACTGATAATGCGCACACGACTCGGATTCAAGGAAATGCGTTGATGGTGATGGCGATAATGATCGCGAAAGATAGTGTGTAAATGAAAAGTGATATCACTGATCTTACTTGTGGAAATAATTCAAGATCAGAGACAATTTTTGCTTCGAATCAAATCAGACATTAGCTGCGAGAAGATGCGCTTCGTTAATGTGGACGTTTTCTAGATGAACCTGTTTCTTCATTCATTATTCTTATGCGCATGCATGCATGCTTACGATGTTTACATTAAACCGTTTTGCGAGTTGATCACTCGATAACAATATGAGTGATCGGTAGACAGATGCACAAATCATTATCCGATCATCATGTTAAATCATTAAGCCTTCGTTATTTCATCATCCAGCAACAACACTCCTCACACAACAATCAGTTTTATTGGTCTCTGAACCATAGCATGATGCCTCCAAACCAAATCATCAGTTGCTTTTGCACTTTGCAGAGTCCGTCGTTCTCATGCTTACAATTAGCAAGCAATTCAACAAGATTGCACAACACTTATGAAATCTTCAAAAACATCCTCTCATATACTAGACTTGCAGGTTATGTAAATATGACAACAAGGAATATTTCGCAACTTATTATCTCATCGTCTAGCGAGTGCAGTGTGAATATGGGGATGTTGTTTACGTGAGACGTTCATAATGGTTGCATTCCGAAGGCAACGAAAGGCAAAAGTACATTTTTGGTTTAAAAAAAATTGGTTTCGCAAGCCTCGAACAACAAGTAGTGGTGCACTATTTATTCTATTTTGCACCTATCAAACGTTGCACAAACGCACTCAGCAATATGGATAAAGTACAAAAAACGGACTAGGTCCAAATTTTGCAATGTTTAGGTCGTAGTGCATATTCCAACGACGACCAATCATCTCATTTATGCAACTCCATTGAAGAGTACGTAAATTGACTTAAAATATAATTCTGAAGTCGAATGTCAACCTTCAAATGTAAAATCTTCACTCAAACTGAAACTCTTATACTACTGTTTAGATTCACGAACACAAAGCATTCGTACATAACAGATACTCACCAAGAGCGGCCAGTTGCGCCTTCTTTTGAGCAGACAAAATTGCAGCAGCCTCGAGACGAGACTTGTTGCGTTTCTTGAACGAATGCAGTCGTTTTGTCATCAATTTTGAACACTGCAACAAAATGAGTGATGCGATGAAATGAGATTACTATGGATTTGGTTTGAGAATGCCTTCTTTATGAACTGGAAATTGATTATCAACTGGGAATACTCGGAAATGTGACGTTGAGAAATCTCCTTTGAATGCAACTTATATGATGCTCAACTGAAATTATTTTAAGTCGACTGCA